TGGAGTCTGTCTGGGTGGCCTGCACGGATCTGGCCAAAACCCACAGTCCAATGCCGCCCGCAGCTTCTACCTGCCGCTCCTGCTCATCCCAGCCCCACTGTGCCTGCCGCAGGCTTGTGCCCAATCAGTCCTGATCGGGAGAAGCTTGCGCTGCCACAGCAGCACTCACCAGCCATGAGCCCTGCGTCTGGCATACTCCCAAGGGGAGTAGCCTGTGGGATCAGGCTGAAACCCGCTCTCCAACATCCCCCGAGGGGTCCCGGATTGCAAGAGGGCGCAGGCCAGGCTGAGGGACCCCATCGGAGCATGATCGGGGCCGGGGAGGGATTGAGGGAGGGCTCCTGGGCATGTCCTGCCCATCTTGCTCAATCCCAATCGGCCAGACCCCAGCAGCAAGCTGACCTACTGGTAGAGCATCTGCCCCCTGGTGGTCAGTGCACATCATAGCGACTGGTTGACCAGTTGTCTGCACCCTGGTGGTCAGTGCACATCATAGTGAGCAGTTGAGCAGCCTTAGCATATCATTAGCCTATTAAGGCTTTGATTGGTTGTTCGGTTCTGCTGTTCAGTCTATTTGCATATTACCCTGTTATTATATAGGATGTGTCATAATTTTCCTTGCTTTTTAAGGCTTAATAGTATTTCATTGTGTATATATATCATATTTTGCTTATTTCTTTTTTTTAATATATATTTTATTGATTTTTTACAGAGAAGAAGGGAGAGGGATAGAGAGTTAGAAACATCGATGAGAGAGAAGCATCGACCAGCTGCCTCCTGCACACTCCCTATTGGGGATGTGCCCACAAGCAAGGTACATGCCCTTGACCGGAATCGAACCTGGGACCTTTCAGTCCGCAGGCCAATGCTCCATCCACTGAGCCAAACCGGTTAGGGCAACATTTTGCTTATTTCTTAATGGTTAAGGTGTAACCTATCAATGTACAGTTGGGCTGCTTCCACATTTTAGCTATTGTGGATAATCCTATTATGAGCAATACATACAAATACAGTATACTAACTAGTATCTTCAGGATTGTTTTAATTCTTTGGGGTATATACCCAAAATGGTATTATTGGATCATATGGTAATTCTATTTTTAATTATTTAACTACCACCATACTGTTTTCCACAGTGGCTGTACCATTTTACATTTCCATTAACAGTGAGTGCATAATGGTTCCAATTTCTCCACATCCTTGCCAACACTTGTTTTCTGTGAGTTTTTGTTTTGGTTGTTGTTGTTTTACTAATACTCATGCTAATGGGTGTAAAGTGGTATTTTGTAGTTTTGCTTTGCATTGCCCTAATTATTAGTGATGTTGACTGTCTTTTCATGTGCTTGTTGGCCATTTGTATATCTGCTTTGGAGAAATACCTATTCAAGTTCTTTGCCCATTTTTCAATAACTAACACCCCTACCTTCCATACATATAGTGAACCACTGCTGCTCACATACTTGTTTATGGGGACATCAATGGCTCTCCTGGGTTTTCCCCTGTCTTCCTTGTCCCTCAGTACTCATAAATCTGGAATTTACATACAGAACCTATTTGTGTATTGATATTGAGAAATAGAGCAGAATTTAAAAACTATATGATAATATTTTAATATTTAAACCTGTTTCCAAAAAAACCTACACCTCTCTTTACAGACTTATAACAGCTGTGCCAGACTCTGCTTAAACCAAGAAACAGTATGTCTAGCAAGCACTGCTATGAAGACTGAAAATTGTGTGGCCAAAGTAAGTAATATTACTCAGTATATATTTTACTACATCATAATGATGCATTATCTATAGATGTCTTCACTCATTATTGCTATTAAAACTTATTACAGGATTTTATATTTTTAAAAAGAATATAGCAGGCATCATTTTATCCAAATTAGATTACAAGTTGGAATCTCCAGCTCTTTAATTGCAACAGAATTTTTTGATTATGTATTCTGGTCACACTTTAGTCTAAATCATGTTTGTTGCTTAACACTAGCTATGGATTGTAACAAAAAAGTAAGGTTTTATGTAGGAAAATATGCAAATTATTTTTATGTTTGTTCATGGCTTCTAAGTGTAATTAAGAGCAGGCCAATGCTCCATTGCAAGGATTGTGAAATATGCTATAGAAAATCCAATTATTATATCACTACTGTTATTTATTAAGTGGCTTAATGGTAGAAGTATTCCTTTTGGTGATCTTGATCTGAGTGGGCAAAATACAAAAAAATAATCTTACATATTAGAGATTTTACAATCTAATAATCACATAACTATGATTCATATTTTCTAAGTAATCTTTAATTACTCAGGAGCTTTGACCTAAATTTAGATATCATCCATTTTGATTATTCCAAGAATAAATAAAATTTCAGTATGGGCTTTGTTTCTAGACTTTTACTTTGCATATCTACAAACTTACTGCCTTCAATAAGTTGTCACTATTACAACATTCCCAATTTTATCTACTTTAAGTTTAATTTATTGTATTATACAATTAGGCTCTTACTTACTTACTCTTATTATTAGAGCTAGGGCTGGTATCATCCTTTGCTACAAAAATCAAAGGACAGCAATATTTTTTATTATTTTTATTTTATTTCTTAAAACTTGCAGTATTTTGTCAACTGAAAATATATAATAGAAAATATAATCAATGGAAATGATCCATATAAGAAATGTCAGAATTTATTTAAAATTATAGTTTAAAAAAGATAGTCATTTAAGTGTCTCTTAAATTAGAATGCCTTAATGACTTACTGTAAAATATGAATATTATAAATTATACTTTTATATTTCATGTTTCAGTCATTTAGCAACAGCTAGCAAGTGCTAATTGACCCTATTTTATACCTAGCATTTGTGCATTGAGATGGGGGACCAATTATTTGGGCCTTTAAAAATAATCTGTCTCCCTTTTGGCCACACTGCTCTTAGTTTTATCACAAGTGGGTGACTTCTGGCTAACCAAGGTAAAATCTTAACATGAGCACCGATCCAAGGACAGGGTGACAATTTTAATGAGTTCCATTGAGAGCTGGCCAAGTGAGCATCTGTCCTTTTTGTTTTCTCCATACTTTGTAAACCAGGATCTCTAAAGCTATGTAGTTATTTTGTTGTGTGTCTGTATGATGTGGTGTATGTGTTTTTATCTCTCCA